ATAATCTTTTCCTTGTTGTTCTACATTTATTAGACCATTATTAAAGCTGTCTAATTTCAATTTCTCCTTTGTTTTAAACACAGAATAGTGATTCTTGTTTTTTTCCCTCTTAGATTGATTGTAGTTTAGTGACATGTTCATGTCCAAATGATTTTATAACAGCGGGGTTGGATTGTTTTACATACTGCACAGGTATTATATGCAGAATTTGGGGTTGATTGAAGTGTTTTCCATGTAAGGAGGAAAAAGGAAAGCAAAGGTTCATTGAAAAACTACTCATCCTGTCTCTGAAAGTTACCTTTCCTTTACTTGATACACCTCCAGACAGAAGCTGAATCTCGCAGAGAGTCAGGAAATCCTGAAGACGGCAAACGTGTGATGATCTGCTTTTCCTGCACCTCTCCTGAAATCACATCTAGGCAGAGTTTTCTTTCTGGCTCGTTCTCGGCTTTACCTCGGGTTGAATGTGGTTTCAGATTATCTTCACTGGATCCATCGGGTGTCAATCAGGATTCTCTGTGTTTTCTTCTGGAACTGTTAGACACAGGATGAGGACAGATAGATCTTAGGTTTGATCAAACTTTAGAACACTTTAAGACTTTAAAACATATTTTTAATGCTTTTTAAGATGTTATCTTGTTCAATATGCACCAGGTTATGGAGTGAAATTTGTTCCAAATGTTGTTGCAAGCAACAAACAAAAGAAATGCATTTCAGAAATTTAACCTTTATAAATTGTGTTGATCAAAGTAAGGTTGTAACAGTAACATTGCTTTTTTGCCAATTTTATTTTGTTTAACATAACAATTTTTATTGTATTTTTTTCCATATTTAATTTTTTTTTTCTAATTTTTAGGCTGAGTGTTACAAATTACGTTTTTTTTGCATTGTACAGATCACATTCTTCTGGGGGCAGATTTTCTCTGGATTAAGATGCAAGAAGCTTTTCTATTGGTCTGCTGAATGTTAGCAACATTTTTATTGGTCAAAAGCAAAGAGAATGTGATCTGTTTAACGCAATTTTAAAATAATATAGTTGTAAATTGGAAAAAAAAATAATTTTGATATAAATTCAGAATTATTGTCACAATAAAATAAAAGTTACTCTCAATTTCTTTTTTTTTATTCAAAGTTTCATTTTTGGATTAATTTTTTTTTTTTTCTCAAGTTTCTTTTGACAAAATTTGTTTTTTTGCAACAATCTTGGAACCTAATTCACTCCATACCGACTGCTGAATTCTTAACATAGAACTGTTTACCTTTTACTTGCAGCTTTGAGTTACAGCAGAGGAATAACGTTCATATATAAAAATCTTTGTTGCACAGCCTGGCAGGAGATCCAGCTGCTGCCTTTCAGTGTTCACTTCATTTGCACATCTTGTGAAACATGCAACCCACTGAGCGTGTCGTCAGCAGGGGGTCGGTTTGATGCTACAAAAACACAAATCCAGATGTTTTAATCACATCCATGCCTTATTAATTGGTTTGATTGTTTAATCATATTTGCCTTTTTAGTTCAGATTTATTTGATGACTTTATATTTTCTGATGTCAAGTTTTTGAATCTAAGTTGGAGGAAAATCTAATTATTTGAATGGAATTTATTTTTTATGTCTGATTTTCACCACTGAAGGGGAGGAGGGTTACTTCTTAACCTGCTGCTTGATTTCAATTCTATGTTGATTAAACAAATATTGTGCATTTAACTTCCTTTGTCATATGTGTCTATTTTGTGTACATTAAGGATTTATTAGTTCAACTTCCTTTTTCCAACTCTATTGCTAATAAAGATCTTTTAAAATAACTAGAGAGTTTTTTAGGTCTCAGTACTCTATCAGTGCTTTAGTTTAAGGGCATACTATACTGCAATTTAAAAGATCATTTGCAAATTCTCTAAATGAAGTTTTCAGAAACAGGAATCCCCTTTTATCACCTTTTTTCTTTTTACCTCACATTTTTTAAATCCCCTTAGAAAATGCATTTACGTTTCTTACATTTTGCATTTCAGTCACCCAAACACAACATGGTAACAGTTTAACTTCATCTTGTTGGTAGTTAACTTTGAATAAGTGTTGGTTTGATGGTTTAGTTTTTAATTTTATTAAAGGAAAAGTCCAGTCATATTTTCTTTTGGTTTGAAGTCCTTACTTGGCCTTTCAACAAAATATGTAAAAAGAAAAAACAGAAATACATTTTTGATATTAATAATTTATTACCATGCGATAAGTCAAGATTATTTTTTGTGTAGTCTTCTGCCCTCTGTTATCAGGTATATCTGATTGTGTACAGTAGGATTTTGAGCAAAGTTTTTACCATTAAATTATGCAAAAGGTGTCAGACACAAAACATTTCAGAAACCGTATGTATCAAATATGATACATTTGGCATTACAGAGTTAAATAATTTCATTTTAATGTGATTTACCAGAGACATCAGTGTTTGTCAAAGAACACTACTGCCACCTACCGGTTTGTGACGGTGCGGTATCGGCTGTTGAGCAACGCGTTTTTGGCCAGACGTTCAAAGACAAATCCTCCCTCTTCCAGTTGGCAATCCAATGACAAACCCGTCTGTGTAGGAACATGAATCGGAAAGGTGAAATAACACATTTTTGTTAACTTTTAGCCAATGTATTACAACATCCAACTGCCATGCACTTGGGCATTGTCAGTTTAACTATAGCTCTTACAAATTTCAATGGCGAAGTCCTCTTGAAATCTTAAAAAATTGCTGCTGATTGAAGATGTGTCTGTTTGTGCCTATTGACTTTGCTTGTTAAGCGGGGAGAATGGCGCTCGGTTTACCGCGCTGTGATGTCACTGCCGGAAGATGTCAGGAGTGAGGTATTACTATATTTGGGCAAAAAATGATCTCGATGAAAAAAATTTTTTTAATTATTTTTTTGATTAACGGTAAATTCATCTAATCACTGTGAATGTATTAGTTTTAGGTATACATAATGATCCATTGATCATTCCTTGCTACAGTTGCTAACAGCTTATATTTATAAGCTCTTACTAATAAACTAATAAGTTTAGTAACAAGTTTGATGAAAGTTTATTAACGGTATAGTAATAACTTATTACCAGCTTGATAAAAGCTTATGAACAGTTTAGAAACAGCTTATACACAGTTCAATAATGGCTTTTAAAGCAGAGTTATGCAAAAGCTAAATGGAAAAGTAAAACCTTAAGGCAATGCACAGGGTTCAGATAATAAATGGAGACAAAAATGTGAAAAGTATTTAAAATGTTAGTTAAAACAGAAAACACAAATGGAAAAAGGATTTGTGATAATAAATAATATTTCCCCCTGCTCTTAGCAGTAATGATTTTATGGGATTCTTTTTAAATAAGATTGATTCTATTAAAAATTAGATCATAAAAAACTATGATAGGTTTATCTCAGGATGGTGTTAAATATGGAAGGTATGTCCCCCTGAAGGCAGCTTGGAACTTCCCTACCGGTTCTTTTCCTGGGAGCAAGTTATTTACTACTCTTAACTCAAACTGGGTAAAACTATAAAAAAGGACTATAAAATGGGAATAAATAAGTAACAGTGTTTATTCCAGGTCAGGTTTCTTACAGGACAGAGAAACTGAGGCAACATCTGAGGTAGTCATGGAATCTGAACCGAGTTTAGACTGCTTTGATCCAGTTGAACTTTCAGAGTTAGCAAAATTATTGTCTTAATCTAAGCCTTCAACTTTTATGTTAGATCAAGTTCCCACTAGTTATCTAAGGAAGTATTCCCTTTGATTTACTCCTCCATTTTAGATGTGATTAATTAAATCCTTCTCCTCCTCCATGGTTACCTGTGGAGTACCAAAGGGATCAGTGCTAGGACCAATTCTCTTTACTATATATAAGCTCTTAATCAGTAGAATTATTACAGTATGGGATTATTTTCCACTGTTATGCTGATGATACCCAGCTATATCTGTCTATAAATCCAAATGAAGCTAACACATTACATAGATTACAGGCATGTCTTGAAGACATAAAAACCTGGATGACTCTTAACTTTCTGCTTCTGAATGCAGACAAAACAGAAGTTATAGTCTTTGGATCAGAGTCTTTGAAAAAGAAGCTGATTAGCCAGTCACTTCATTTGGATGGGATTAAACTGATCTCAGATAATAAAGTAAAATATCTTATTATTTTTTATCAGGGCCTGTCATTTAATTCCCATATCAAAGAGGTTTTCCTTCTCACATCTGCGAAATAGTGCAAAAAATAGAAATATCCTGATGCTCAGAAACTAGTCTATGGATGTGTTACTTCAAGGCTGGACTTCTGTTATTCTTTATTATCAGGAAGTCCACAAACTGTAGTTAAAAGCCCTCAGCTGATGCAAAATATTGCAGCCAGAGTTCTGATGAAAATTAAAAAGAGAGATCATATCTCTCCCATCCTGGCTTATCTTCATTGGCTTCCTGTTAAATCTAGAATAGAATTTAAAATCATCCTCCTCGCAAATAAGCCTTAAATGGCCAAGCTCCATCTTATATCAGGATATATTTATGGAGTGAATTCTGTTCCATTGTTGTTGGACAAGATTTGTAGATTGGAGACTGTATGTAGATGTAACTTGTGTAGATGTGTAAATTTACACCTTTTTTTACTCTACACACAAAAAAAAATGTAGACTGAATTTTATAAATTGTGTTTTTAAATCATGCTTTTCAGATCATATTGTTCTCTCTTCATTGGGCTGTCTGCTTTCCTCTGGAGTACAGAAAACACATTTATTTTGGTCTGCTAGACATTTGTATTAGGCACAAACTGAGGAGAAAAATATAAAACAAACAAATATATATATATATATATATATATATATATATATATATATATATATATATATAAACATATCAGCTGTGCTGCTGCCATCAACACCTTTGTTTGTTTTTTTTTCATTTTGAAAGCATTTTTTTTAAATGAGCGTTTATAAAATATATTCTTTGCCTGTAAAAATAAATGAATAAATTTCACTCCATAAAAAAACAAACAATAAACACTGTAACTTGTGTTGCACTGAATTATTTTAAATGTTTTCCATGTTGGCATTTTTGTAATCAGTACAGGGTTCAAATGCGTCATTTAAAACCTAAAATTAGACAAGTCATTGAACTTTTACATGAGCCTGAATAATTTAATGAAATTTTTTTTTTTTTTTTGATAAATTAGCTACTATAAGCTTTCAAATGTCTTTAAATGTTCCTGTAAAGAAGCTCATGAAAATGTTTGTGTCCTTATTGCTCCTGTTTTGAACAAATATTGTTAGTTATTAATGCTCAGGATGGGATGGGCTGTGTAACGGAATGCACTCATCCATTGTTGATGTGTCTCCAAGGTTACTCCCTGTACACATCAACTCAACTGAAACAGATCCCCTCTGCTTAAATAGGCCTGTTGAAAGCAGTCCTTGTGGCTTTCCTTGACGTTCAGAAGGCTCTGTTGAGATGGACCTGAAAGGCCGTCCTCACTCTGTGAAGCTTTGGCAGCTCAGCGGGACGGACTATGAGCCACAGCGGAGTCTAAAGCAGGGGATGGAGAGACGCTTCAGCAGTTGGACCCCACTGACCAACAAGCAAAGCAACCTGCAGGTTAAAACTACACTGTACACCTCTAACAGCAACAATCGTAGATGCATTGTATTAAGAGAGAATATGGGACTATACTGGGGCTGCAATTAATGATTATTTTGCTAATTGATTAATCTGTCAATAATTTTTTTTACAGAATTAAACAGGGTAAAACTAAAACTTTTCCAATTGTGGAGTTTTGGATAGAGCTGACAGATGATAAAGGCTTTTTTTTATCCTGCAAAATGTTGTTACATATTTTTTACAGTTTTGGTATAATTGGTATAATCTGTCAGCTAAAGTGTGGGAGTGGTGGCCTAGTGGTTAGGGCATTGGGCTTTGAATCCTGAGGTTGTGATTTCTATCCCCCACTCCCACAGACTGCCACTCTGGGTCCCTGAGCAAGACCCTTAACCCCACACTGCTCCCCGGGCGCCTCACAATGGCAGCCCACTGCTCCCCAAGGGGATGGGTTAAATGCAGAGAATTCATTTTGTTGCTCTGTACTTGTGACAGTGGAATGACAATAAAAGTTGAATTCTATTCTAAAGGCATGTTATAGAGTCCCTATACTACAGTTAATGGTTAATTGATTACAAAGTCTCTTGACCATCGTTTCAATAATTGATTAAATGCAATTAATAAAAAAAATCATAGAAATATTAGTACAGATTAAAAAAAATGCCTTTATAGAATTTTCTTTATTTGAAAAAAACAATTCATTACTTGAAAATATACACAGAAATTCAACCTGGAGAGACTTATACAGAGAAAATGTACATTCAAAAGTTTTATTCAAATCAACTATTTGTAAGTCACAGACTGGTTAAAAGTTTTCTATTTAAAGAAAACCAGCTGATTGCACTGACTTATTGATTCGACAGTGATCCCTTATTACAATTTAAACAAGAAGAAACCTNGTTACTTTTACTTGAGTAAAGAAGTTTAATCAGTACTTCCACTTTTACCAGAGTATTTTTTAACACAAGTATCTGTACTTTTACTCAAGTATGGAAAGTGAGTACTTTTGCCATCTCTGTCCCTCCTTTTTTTTGTTACTCAATAACGTATTTTGCCACAAAGATTTAAATTGTGTGAAAAAAACATTTGATTTGTGTACTTTGCATTAAAGACAGGCTTTATTGAGTAATTTAAATATGATGATGTGCTTTTTCTAAATGTCCTTCCAACAGTACAAATAACTTTACACTCATTTATACTTCTATAACTTTCCTACTAAGTACCATTGATTGGATTCTATTGATTGATTGATTGATTGATTGATTGGATTCTTTATTTCGAACATGCAAGAGAAAAACAATAAAACAATGTTTAAAATCATTGGAGAGAAAAACAACAAACAAGGTACCATTCTTTCCTGAGTTATACCTCTATTAAATGTGCGAAAAGGAGCAGGAAGAAGTAAAACTTATGTGCTCCTACCCCTTTAAATCTTGTATTTCTTCAATTTACAATATTTATAATTATGTTGCTATATATATCCATATAAATATATACCTACCTACACATATACATACATAAATATGTATACAAACAAAACAAAAAACACAAATAAAACTTTCTACAATGCTTCTCTAAACCTTTTGAAAATAATTTCTTTGTACAATTTTTTGAAAAGGAATATGTTTCGGCATTGCTTTAGGTTCTCATTTAATTTGTTCCACAATTTAACTCCCCAAATTGATAAATATAATCTTTTCCTTGTTGTTCTACATTTATTAGACCATTATTAAAGCTATCTAATTTCAATTTCTCCTTTGTTTTAAACACAGAATAGTGATTCTTGTTTTTTTCCCTCTTAGATTGATTGTAGTTTAGTGACATGTTCATGTCCAAATGATTTTATAACAGCGGGGTTGGATTGTTTTACATACTGCACAGGTATTATATGCAGAATTTGGGGTTGATTGAAGTGTTTTCCATGTAAGGAGGAAAAAGGAAAGCAAAGGTTCATTGAAAAACTACTCATCCTGTCTCTGAAAGTTACCTTTCCTTTACTTGATACACCTCCAGACAGAAGCTGAATCTCGCAGAGAGTCAGGAAATCCTGAAGACGGCAAACGTGTGATGATCTGCTTTTCCTGCACCTCTCCTGAAATCACATCTAGGCAGAGTTTTCTTTCTGGCTCGTTCTCGGCTTTACCTCGGGTTGAATGTGGTTTCAGATTATCTTCACTGGATCCATCGGGTGTCAATCAGGATTCTCTGTGTTTTCTTCTGGAACTGTTAGACACAGGATGAGGACAGATAGATCTTAGGTTTGATCAAACTTTAGAACACTTTAAGACTTTAAAACATATTTTTAATGCTTTTTAAGATGTTATCTTGTTCAATATGCACCAGGTTATGGAGTGAAATTTGTTCCAAATGTTGTTGCAAGCAACAAACAAAAGAAATGCATTTCAGAAATTTAACCTTTATAAATTGTGTTGATCAAAGTAAGGTTGTAACAGTAACATTGCTTTTTTGCCAATTTTATTTTGTTTAACATAACAATTTTTATTGTATTTTTTTCCATATTTAATTTTTTTTTTCTAATTTTTAGGCTGAGTGTTACAAATTACGTTTTTTTTGCATTGTACAGATCACATTCTTCTGGGGGCAGATTTTCTCTGGATTAAGATGCAAGAAGCTTTTCTATTGGTCTGCTGAATGTTAGCAACATTTTTATTGGTCAAAAGCAAAGAGAATGTGATCTGTTTAACGCAATTTTAAAATAATATAGTTGTAAATTGGAAAAAAAAATAATTTTGATATAAATTCAGAATTATTGTCACAATAAAATAAAAGTTACTCTCAATTTCTTTTTTTTTATTCAAAGTTTCATTTTTGGATTAATTTTTTTTTTTTTCTCAAGTTTCTTTTGACAAAATTTGTTTTTTTGCAACAATCTTGGAACCTAATTCACTCCATACCGACTGCTGAATTCTTAACATAGAACTGTTTACCTTTTACTTGCAGCTTTGAGTTACAGCAGAGGAATAACGTTCATATATAAAAATCTTTGTTGCACAGCCTGGCAGGAGATCCAGCTGCTGCCTTTCAGTGTTCACTTCATTTGCACATCTTGTGAAACATGCAACCCACTGAGCGTGTCGTCAGCAGGGGGTCGGTTTGATGCTACAAAAACACAAATCCAGATGTTTTAATCACATCCATGCCTTATTAATTGGTTTGATTGTTTAATCATATTTGCCTTTTTAGTTCAGATTTATTTGATGACTTTATATTTTCTGATGTCAAGTTTTTGAATCTAAGTTGGAGGAAAATCTAATTATTTGAATGGAATTTATTTTTTATGTCTGATTTTCACCACTGAAGGGGAGGAGGGTTACTTCTTAACCTGCTGCTTGATTTCAATTCTATGTTGATTAAACAAATATTGTGCATTTAACTTCCTTTGTCATATGTGTCTATTTTGTGTACATTAAGGATTTATTAGTTCAACTTCCTTTTTCCAACTCTATTGCTAATAAAGATCTTTTAAAATAACTAGAGAGTTTTTTAGGTCTCAGTGCTCTATCAGTGCTTTAGTTTAAGGGCATACTATACTGCAATTTAAAAGATCATTTGCAAATTCTCTAAATTAAGTTATCAGAAACGAATCCCCTTTTTTCACCTTTTTTTTTTTACCTCACATTTTTTAAATCCCCTTAGAAAATGCATTTACGTTTCTTACATTTTGCATTTCAGTCACCCAAACACAACATGGTAACAGTTTAACTTCATCTTGTTGGTAGTTAACTTTGAATAAGTGTTGGTTTGATGGTTTAGTTTTTAATTNCTGTTCCTGTTTGGCTGTGACACCATCCTGGAGAGACATATCAGCTGTGCTGCTGCCATCAACACCTTTGTTTATAGATGTTGGATTTTGGCCTGTTTTTCAGTGTAGTCCTGTTTCTCTGACTGTGACTAGTTGAATGGGCTCTCTACATCTTCTGATATGGAAGCTGGCTTGGAGCTCATCTGCCTGGCTGTTTCCAGGCCACCTGTGGAGCTGGTTTACAGTTGCCTTTTGCATCTCTGCTTCTTTCTCTATGTCTGCCTCTGTCTCTTTGAACCCCAGGACGCCTCAGCAGATGGCCGCTCACACTGAGCCTGGTTTTGCAGCTTTCTTCCTGTTAAAAGGGAGTTTTTCTCTCCACTGTTGCTACAAGCATGCTTTGTGTAAGGCAGTTACACTGGTTTGAGTCAGGGCTGCTACTGAATCTGATTCATCCATTGTTAGGAGCTGTTGAGATTAGTAGAACTGACGATACAGTGGATGCTGAGAGGACAGATGTGTGGTTATGCGCCAAGAGGAGTGAACACCTGATGAGATGTGATGCTCAGATGATGGGTTGTCTATTGACTGCATGCAAGAGTATCTACAGGATAGAGAAATTAAGAGAACATAAAGCTATATGAAGGGAGAAGGAAGTTTTACAGGCCTTCCACCTCCAGTAAGTTGCTAATCAGATTTACGTCAAGGCTACGCGAGCAATAAGGTTTCTATAATAATTATAACAAAAATCCATTTCTAATAATGGACACATCAAACAGTGTGAGAAGTCGTAGCACTATAAGGACCCATAGGGGCGATAAAGTGGAATTGGATGGAATGCGTCATGAATGGGTGAGCATAAGATAGGCCTTGGTGAGTCCTAGTAGACTCCAGGAGCAGGATGCTGATTCTAAAAGGGTAGAGAACTGGATCTACCAGGCATGGAGATGTGCAACAGATTTAAATCAAAGCATGAATGGAGTTTAGCAGATGCATTCAAAGTTCAGCTGAAGTGCTGAATGGGGAAGCTGGGCCTTCGTCTTAATGAAGAGCATCTTGAGTAATTAATGGCTTTGGAGATGGTGCGGCTGCGGCACGTTGTCAATTGGCTAAGACTGAGTGAGGGACGTCAGCAGGTGTTCCAGGTTAGGCTGAATAAGAGCCTTCCAGGTTAACTTTACGCTTAAGCTCTTTTAACTAAGAACTTTAATCATAATACTACATATGATTGTTCTTGTATGATTACTTCATATATTTGTCACTTTCACCAACATAGAAGGTCTTCTACATCAAATTAGGTCATTTTTATCTTTTTGAAATCAGATCCAAGGGCACATTTGTCTCTTCCTGTGATCAGCTTTGTAGAAGGAGTTATAAATGTGGAGAAGGTCTAGATTTGAGCACATACACTGGAAAAATGACCTAGGAATAAGTACAAATTTCTTAAATTAAGTGTATTTACTGTTAATTTGAGTTGGTAAAGGAGACTCATTCGCCAATAGAATAAGTATTTTTACTCTTGAAATAAGATAATTAGATAAAATCACTTTGAATTAAGACAATGTAATTGTGTTTTCTTATTTTAAATGTAAACTCTCTTGTTCCCTTGGCAAAATGTCTCTTTTACCTCCTCAATACAAGAACAAATTCACTTATTTTAAGAAAAAAATGACTTATCTAGATTTAGATTTTTTACCAGTGTAGCACTGCCCCCTGCAGATGTTGGGGCTAGTAGTGGATGTCGGTCATTTGGTTTGGCGTAAACCAGGAGAAGCCACCAGGCTGTTGCCAAAGAGCTTCTGTCCCAGGTCGGACTCCACTTGCCTTGATGTTTGTCATCGTTATAGTTGTGAGCCAAAAGCCCAACACATGGGGGCATTTAAACATATAGCCCCTGGGATCACTTACTGCTTACCCCATTGGGGGTTCAAGGAGCTTAAAGCTCGGCCATTAGGGAATTACTTTGAGTAGAAGCGTTCCATTTCCACTTCAAGAGCTAAGGTAGCTCTGGCATCTGTTTGTATGTCCCCTTGATGGAGGTAGGTTTGCATAGGAACAACAGGGACATGTCCCTACCAACATTTTGGACAAACCCATTTGTCCCTGCAAATACTAAGAAGTGACCTGTCAATAACATGTATTATATAGCATGCTTTACACATTGACAAACATAATTTAGTGTGTAGTGCTTATAAAATTTGTTTAAACGTAGCAAGAAATGCAGAATTTTTCTTTATACCAGACAAAGCATGCATTTAAGGGAACAGTTTGGAAAAACTTATTTAGCAAATCCTGAATTTGTGACTAGGCCTTCTGATACCCTAGTTGATATAGTCATTTTATCTTTTAGGGGTACTACTTATCCCATCACCTTTTCTGGGTTTTGTAACAAGTCTTAACCTGATGACTTCATTAGATGAATGGCATCTGGTGTGCTACTGCTTGGTTGGAAAACAGCAGCCATACAGTCCTTTCTGGAACCAGTTTTACACCCCTGATATAGAGACTTTCCTGAAAAAACAGCCAATCTAATTGGTAAACCAGTTTTGGTTTAATTAACCAATAGCTTGGTCAGTTTCTGACCAAGCCATTGGTTTTAGATCAACCAATTTAATTGGTTAACCAGACAACCAATAAAAATGGTAACTGATGGTTTACTACTCTGACTGTTTGGTTGTATCTACTCTGACTGTTTGGTTGTGTCTAGTGTAGTGTGTAATACTTATGGACCTAGAGAACAATTACAGTGATTTGTACACATACAGCATGCTTATCCTGGATCACCTTAGTTAAAACATTAGTATTAAGTACTATTAAATTCCAAGAGATGTTAGTCTTGACAGTGGTGTTTGAGATACGAGTTTGCCTTTCAATGGAAGGATTGTTGTGTCAAGTTCTGTTCTTTGCTGTTAAAGTTGCTCTACTTAACCAATATTTTGGTTAATGTGACCAATGTTCATTGCTTTGACTTTTACCAATATAGACTAGTTAAAACTATACCACATTTGATTGGTTGGACACATAACTACCAACCAGATTGATGAAATTGAACCAAGTTTTTTGGTGGTATTGACCAATCTGTTGAGTGTGAAGATTGCTGTTCAGCAAAAGCTTGTTAATCAGCTATCACTGGAAATAAGCTGTGTGGAAGCAGAAAAACCTCTAAAACCTGCAGGACATCAGCCCTATAAGACCCAAAGTTGGTCCTTTTGAGCCTGTGCTAGGGGTTTATTCCTGTTGAAAGAGTTTTAGACGCATGCTCATTCTGGGGAATAGCTGTAGGGTAAACAACATAATGCAAGAAATGATCTACATGCTCATCCAGGAGGATTGAATCCTGTAAAGTCAATCGCTGGATGCAATCAGCTGGGTTTCCTTTGAAACATGTTTTACCAATTGAGTCTCTGTAAAGTGCCTTTAGATTACATGTGTTGTAATTTTGTTTCATAGACATAAACTAAATTAAATATGTTATCCTTCCTTAATACCTTTGTTAACCTTCCTTAATACATCCATCAGTAGCAGACAAGATTAAGTCATTTAATCAAGACATTCTTTCACAAGAGCTGCTCTGATATATGAGGTTTTTGAAATAGGGTAAATTAAAACCTCTACGAATATCACTTTAGAAACCCCAGACATTCAATTTAGAATCTAATTTCCCTTAATAATATCAACACCAATAGTTGTCAACATCATGAGAAAGTTTGGGAGTGATTGCTTGGCCTCATTTCATGTCTTGCTCTTGTTTAATCGAAGCTATTTGAGGAGCGGGTAAAGCTTTCCTTGCACTGGTTTGATTTGTGGAACGATTCACAGAGGAAACATCTCCTGCACTCCCTGCTGATGCGCTCAACCAAGTCCCAGCTTAAGTAAGGCTCATTCCAACACTTTAAGTCGTTATAAAGTCTCAGCCCTGAACCTGCATTCTGGTCCCTTTGTTGTATCTTTCACAAACTCAGGTACTGCAGAGATATGCTTAATGAGACAGTCCCTGTTACTAGAGCGGACTTCACAGCTGTACTGCCACGGTTTCTCTCTCTGTATGTTATGTCCTTCCTGTCCCCTATGGACCTCTGCAGTGCCGCACAGGTCAGTTGGCACTGGAGATACCTGACAGAACAGGTGAGGTACTCTTCTGACTTATTCGTAGGCTTTCTAATGAGTTGAACATTTAGAAAGAACAATAAGTGTACAAATACATAAGTTTAAAGACTTTTTCAATGCAATTTTGCCATGATTTCAACCCCCATTGCTTAATATGAGGAAACTCTTATTTAGCAAATGGGTGAAAGCATCTGTTCTTATCTTCAATCAGGACTGTCTCTGGTCAGGCCGGTGTATCAAGAGAGGCTGGTTTCTTCCCTATGCACCAAGAGAAAAGGAGTTTGGAGCCTGGAAGTATCACTACATCTCATGTGTTTCTACACTGGACTGGTTTCCTCCTCGGGAGGCAGCCAAGATATTTGGGACCCTCAATCAGCCAAGCACGGGGTTGACAGAGGATGAAGAGGAGAGGAGTAAAGAGAGAAGGGTTAGACAGAAAATCAAAGAGGCACTGCAGGGGGAGAAGAGTGAGTCATTATAAATATTGATGTTCTAGTAAATTAAGTTTTGTTTAGTCATACTTTTACCAAGAGGATCTTCAAAAAATAGTGTTGATCTACACCAAGAATCTGCAAGTTTCACATTTAATTCAACATGACAAAAAAAATTAAATTGATTGTAATTTTTAATCATATGTCCAAAAGGTTATTGTCCTTTTTGGAGCATTGCCTTTTTATCTTTATTGTTAGGTTTTGAGAAAAGTTTAAATCATAAAATATCATTTTTTCTGATGGAATGATGACAATGTTTGTGAAAAATATTTAAAACAGCACATCGTTTCCAACTTAACAAAAAAAAAAAAACATCTAAAACAGCTACTGGTACTTTTCCTTCATGATGTGGAAGATCATTGCAGTTATTCCATGAAAAAAACTGCATTAGTTCTTATAAAACACTCCCAAAAAAAATTCCTTATCACTTTTTAAAGTAAAAAGTAATAGTGGAAAATTCATGTGTGGCTATGAAGCTGCAGTTTGCAGAACGCTGATCTAAGCATTTCATTTAGCAGAGGAAGAACAAGCATAAATCTCTATACAATCCAGTCAAATATTTGGATCCTCTTACTCTTACATTCACAGAATTTTTTTTATTGTATTCGTAATATCCTCTTTATTGATTCATCTAAATAGATGCAAATGAAGTTATAACAAAGCTAAAAGTTGATGCTGCTATAAGCTTGGCTGCTTGAGAGTATAAGAACCATTTTTTTTATCTTCCTACTTCCTTCTACTTCTATTCTCAAATTCTGCAGTACTTGTTCAACCCCTAACTTTATATTCTTGTCATAGTAGCCTAATCTGGTTTAGTTGAATTGCCTCTGATTCAAACCTTCAAACCATCAACACCTTAAACTATTGTTTTACAGTGTTTAGTCCTGTTCCAAAAATTAGATAATTTCCAATTTAGAAATATAGATCACTGGTATTTTTAGTTTCATGTTTTTGGAAATTCAATGCAAGTATTTGTGGAAATCTCCAAAAATTATTGTAAAAACAATTAAGAACCATTGTGGAAAGTCCAGAATCACTAGCGTTTCTACAGCTGCTGATCTAAGCATTTCAATCAACAGAGCCCAAGCAAACGAGCATAAATCTCTAAAGGTTCATTCACATGCTTTGATTAGTTAACTTCTACAGTGACAGCATTTCCTTCTTTTCTCATAACATCATTAGCTAAATGTTCATCTCTGTAACGCAAAATAATGTTCAACTGTAATTAATTAACTAATGCAGATCAATTAATTGTCTCTATGTTTAGGCTATTTAGACATACATCAAGGTTTGGCTGTGCTGGTTGCTAGGATACTGGAAGAAGTGTGAAATTTCTAGCTACAATTTAAACTTAGCAGTAGGGTGTATAAGGACATACCTAGCTGTTCAGGAATGGTCATAGGGGTTACGTTAGGTAAACTGAAACACATTACCTACTAATGTGTTCATGCTGAAGCTTTTAGAATCTGACATGCTTTCTGTGAGAATTATTCGAAATGTATAAAAACATGAAAACTTTTGTGAGATACAGCAGTTTAAAAATATAGATGTTTACAAAAAAGTTTTTAAAAAATATGATTCATGGCTGAGCAGTCGATTTTGTTTGTTTGTTTTTGCGAACCTGTCAGGTTTTGCTGTAATGTGCAAATTACTCTCCTCTCCCAATGAAAGTCAAAAACAGATTTTCTTTGGATTTGTGTGATATTTCCAGGGTTGTCCATGATGCACAGGAGACCATGGGGTTCTAATCCAAAATCAGAGGTATTCAGAAGTCCTCAGACAGAAAGGTCCTTTTCAGATTTAACCATCAGATCTCTGCCATCCCTCTGCTGGCCACTCAAGTCTCCACCCATCAGTCCAAAGAGAGGGCAACTTCTCGATGGAGCTCAGGTGACAAGTGCTAGCAGGTGATTTTTTATTAATTTTACACTTGAAGACTTCTGCTGCTGCAATTTTTAGTCAACTCTGTCAAATAGAGAGAAACTTTCTTATTATTTTATAAAGATAATGACCTTTCAGGCAAAAGGCTACTTCCGCTTGATTTAACCCTTATAAGTGTCCTGTTCTGAGAACCTGCATCTATTCTGTTAACATTAAACCATGTGAAGATTGATCATATGTTTTAATTTGGAAATATTGTTGTATGAAGCTGTATAATGTACAATGGAGTGCTTATATATACATATATTTATGTGAATGTTTATTTTCTTGCTTTAAAAGATCGTTGAAGGTAAATAAGGTGTCAGCCTCACTAACTCAGACAGTCTCTGCTGGCCTCCTTCTGCTCCTCTCCAACAGAATTCCTGCTTATGAGGTAAAAAAAAACGGACAAAGAAACAAAAAAATCTTCAGTTAAAGATTCAGTTTTCAGTTAAAAATCTCTCATTTGATTATATCATTCAATGCAGAGATTATATACTAATGTCTTATCTTTTTTTCTTTTAGCTGGTGCTCAGTGGACTGAAGGCTGAAGTGATAGTGGTTCTGTATGACCACAGAGGGACTCTCTCGGCCCTCTTAACCCAGGTGGAGAGGGCCGTCTCAGGGCAGCAAGTGCGAAGGATTGGGCTTTTAGTTCCAGGAGGAACAGAGGAGATTTATCTCGTTAATGGTGAGTCTTCATCAGACCTTATTCATTTTAGGTAAATTTACTCGAGCTAAAGCTAGCGTCGATTTTTAAATAACTAACATTCAACGTTCTGTAATCCATTATATACCATCAGCTCCTTTTGAAAGTTGAACTCTTAGATATCTGTTTGTTTGTAACTGTAGGACAAACATTTCTCTTAATACCTTTAATAAGGAGTAATATCGGTCACTACAGTTTAAAAAAGTGAGTATTGATAACTGATATTTATAGTAATTTTTTCCAAGGGTAAACTGGAGAACAAAGATCTCTAATCCTGGTGAAGAACTGGCCATTCACACGTGCCGTGAAGATGTTCTAATGCTAAATAAAGATGCCCCCCAAACACCAGGTGTCTTTCAGATGTTGGATTTTTAGGATAAATCTGGTCTTGATTTATTCAATTTATTGAAAATTGTGCTGTTTGTTCAATCTTATTTTGTCTCATTTCAGTCCAGTATTAGATAATAGCTGAACTTTTTTCACTTTTCAACCAAATGTAGACGTCGTTTGGAGGTAAATCATGTCGTCTTTTCGAATCCTTTGTACTCAGTGGGTTGGCTTTGGTGGCCGAGTGGTATTATCATTATTTTAGGTTGACAAACTAATTAGCCAAACAGTGCCACTGTTGGGCCAGAAAATCAGCCAGATTGAAATTTGAAAATTCAAATAGAAAATAACCCTTAGAAACTGGATTGTCAATAAAACCTTTTCCTAAAGTGTAGCTGGATGCTCAGAAAAGCTTAAAGGTTCAAAACCAACATGGACTGTGCTTCGATGGCCTTAATCCGACTGACCCGGGTTTGAATCTGCCTGTGGTCCTTTGCCTTATGTCTCGATTTCTCTCTCATACCTTGTTTCCCTGTCAGCCCACTAGTGATGGAAAAACCTAAAAAAAAAAGGTCCTACACCAACATTACTATTTCCGACAGTCTCAGCCAGATGATGGTGAGGGTTCACCACTACTTTCTGGGGTCCCTTTGAGGTCAACCTTCGAGCCCTAGTCCTGGATGGGTTATTTTCTCATGCATAGCTCCGGTGCACCTCTCTATGGCCCAACTACTGCCTAAATCCTTACAGTCTTGCAGTTCCATTGTGCCTCCCCCAGGTATGGGTCGGCCTCATTCCCATCCATGCTTGCCCATCCAATCAAATCTCAAGCATTGGCAGCATCTCAGTCATTCTCTCTCCCGCTGTCTCCTTCTCTCTCTCTACATGTAGCCACCCCTTTTATTCCTTTCTCCCATCATCAGCTACCTATGTAATTAGTAAGTAGCTGTTTGTCAGGAAGTGGGTGCCAATAAATAAGCATCTACAACACCCAAAATGTATGGACTCAGGAACCTCATTAAGGACATAAAGGTCACCTGGTCGTCTCCAGGATAAAAAACAACATTTGAATGTTGCTCCACAGAAAACTTAAAATAAAATCTAATTTGTACTTCACTCTTAAGTCCAAATAGTCCCAGTTCACTTCTTTGCCATTCAGACATCTAAACAATAAGAGGTTTTAAGAGGTTTTAAGAGGTTTCTGCCCCTCCACCATAATTTTCAGCCTTAATGTGGCAAAGGAAATACCATTGCCACTTTCATCAAAGTATAAGCAGCTTTTTGAGTGAAGGTCTTTTGCAGTGGTGTGTCCAGGACATTTACATAGGAGTGGCCTGATAGGTAAGGACAAAAAATAACAGCTGCCAAAACCACTTGAGGATTAAATATGTTGATCACAATGAACCAACAGGAAAAGAACGAGCACAACTTCTATATATTCCGCATCAATCGCTTAACCCTATAATGCCAAATGTATCGTATTTGATACATACGGTTTCTGAAATGTTTTGCGTCTGACACCTTTTGCATAATTTAATGGTAAAAACTTTGCTCAAAATCCTATTGTACACAATCAGATATACCTGATAACAGAGGGCAGAAGACTACACAAGAAATAATCTTGACTTATCGCAAAGTAATAAATTATATCAAAATATCAAAAATGTATTTCTGTTTTTTCTTTTTACATATTTTGTTAAAAGGCCAAATAAGGACTTCAAACCAAAAAAAGCAATTTTCTGTTTTGTTTTATTATTGAATCGGGCTTTAAAGGGTTAAGGTAGACCAGATTTTTATGAGGCTCTTGTTAATAAAAGCTACGCTGTTTAACAAACTGAGCAGAAATAATTAAAAAAAAAACACACACAAACTGGAAACACAAAAAGATTCCCAAACACATTTTGGAAGTAACAGGTGTGAGCTATTGGTTTAAACATGTAAAAAATGCAATTAAACTTCAATATACCCCTTTAAATAACAAAGACAGGTTGAGTGATATCTTTGTGACATGGTCCCTTAGTTTTTTTTTCTGTTATCCTGTTTATTTAAATTTCCATTTTTCTTACGTTCAGACAGTATTCTGTCCGAGAGAACTTTATCATCCCCGGATTTAATGGATTTCTGGGAACAGCTTTTCGCCTTGGTGGCACCCGGTCAACAAGGTGGAGGGATAGACATTTTCTGCCCACTGGCTGCATCCGGTACACTTATGTTTTTATTAACACCCACTGAAATCTGTGAATTACTTTTAGGATCTGCTAAATCATCTGTTTGCCCTTATTTTGTTTCTTACTCGCAGCATCAGGACTTACATTGATCCGTAATCTTTCCACTCTAACTGGTCTGGTAGTTCGAGCGCCTTTGGGTCTCGCCACAGGAAGTTTCCAGAACAGTGAGTTACTTTTACCAAAGAGAAAAGACAAACAAAAACAAAACAGCTGTTGTTTTTGGTCATGGCTTATGTTTCTTATTAATGTAGTCCTCAGTGAATGGTCCAGTGGTGATGGTGCTGCTGCATCTGTAGAACAGGAGCAGGCAGCTCCAGCGCTGCAGTATATTTTTGACGATGTGGTGCTGAACTGGTGTAGACAGGCTGAGTGGATGGAGGAGGGTTTGGTACGACTGAGGGCCACCCTGGGGCTTCAGCTTCAGCAGGCTAGTGTTCAGGCCAGAGGCAGAGCTCTGGGTGAGTTTTAAATTCAATGAGGACACAGCTCTACTTTGATCTAGTTTAACATATCTCTGGGTTATTTCTAGGACTTTTTCTGTGGGAACAATTATCCCTTGATAAGCTGTGTGTGTCCAGAGAACTCAGTGAAGCTCTGACGGAGGGACTTACAACTTTAACTAGAGAGAAAGAGGTGAGAAATAGCTCTATGTATGTTTTAAATGAATCAAAAAAGTGGAAATTTAAAATTTAAAATGAGCTCATGTAAATCTTTATCTGTCTTCAAACCTTCAGAGCAGACCTGTGGAGTTTATCTCCGGCTTCTTAAGCAGATGGACTGAAATAAAGGAGGGTGAGAGGAAACAAGCAGCAAATGGTCAGACTGCACCACATGAAGGCCTAATGCAGGATCTACCCCAGGTTCTTCTCTTTTCACCCTTTCTGCTCTGCTTATAATGAATAGCTTTGAAGTTTGATTTGTTCTATTATTTTTACATTTAAAAAACTGATTTTGTAAGTAAAATTAAAAACAAATTGCAATCCAGAAATGAAAATTTGGAAAACATTTTCCTCAAAGAATTGTTTTGAGAATAACATTGCTGTATTACCAGAATTTGTTGTTTTTTTTGAAAATATTTTTTATAATAGTTTTTTTTTTTTTTTTGCTGATTTAAAAAAAAAAATGTCATGTTATAGACTCAGCTGTTTCAATTCTTTTAACATTTTTTTGATAAAAATTGTGAATTGTGAACAAGGTAATTCATACAATTTTAAATTTTAAATATATACCCAAAATTGAAAAAAGAGCATAAAAAAATATAAAATCTCTAAAGAATGTAAATATAAATAAATATAAATTCTCTAAAAATCTAAGAAAACTGCAAAGTTTCTAACTTTGCTCATAACCATTCTTGTATTAAAATTATTTCAACTTGGAATTTCTGTATTGCATTTTTTTCACATTTCAATTTAAAAAATGCTTTGCCTTCAAAAACAGTAGAGCAGAAGTCAATCCATAATTGGGAAACATAATAAAGCATTTTTTCCCCCCTCTTTAGTCAACTTTGGATTGGAGATGTTCGGTCGGTAGAGAGGTGCTCCACAGTGAATGCCTTTATCTGGGAAGGCTAAGAGCCATGCTGAAGGTAAACCTGTCGCACACTTTAACAATTAATATATCTAAACAAAATGATAAGGTTTGGCTGTATAGAAACATGTTCCAACTTCAAGGCATATGCAACCAGTTCAGCAGATTGTTGCCTTTCACTTGCAAACAATTTGATCTGTTTGTCTTAAACAATATTAAGAACATATGCTGATCATCGGAATGAGTTATATGCTAATGCAATTCCTTGAAACTTGCAAAACCCGCAAACGTTAAACTGCTTACTGCATTTTATTTAGCAAATCAGGAGCAAATAGGCACAGAAAAATGTCTGCAGTAGTTATAGTGAGAAGGAGGCATGGGTTTGAAGAAGAGGAGGTCCTCAACCAAATTTGCAAGGGTGGGCACAGTTCTTTTTTTAAAGGGGGAACCAAACAAAATTCTTAAGGAAAAACAGAGCCCCATCATTCATCATATGTATATTAAGTGTTTAGATGGAAACTCATTTCCTAACTTCCTAGCCAGACCTTTAACTTCTGATCTCACTTTTAGAAAGGCGAGGCATCTCCAAAACTCAACATGTCAGTGCTGGAGCAGGAAAGCTTTCTTCTTTACCCTTTCTTCTCAGATGCTCTGCATTTCCAGTTTCTGACATCTCAAAATGTCCTGTAAACTAAGAGTAAAACATTGCAGGAAGTCTGTTTTGAAAAGTCTGGTTCTGAGATTAGCAACAGACTCACTTAACTTTGGCAGTCAGAAGGTTATGATTCCTGTGGCCTGCATGGCCTTTCATTCATCGGTCTCTTTAGTGGCTGGCAGCCACAAAAGAGGATGAGACAAGCAAGAAGCAGCTGCTTTGCCCTCAAGCTGAGGAGAGAGTGGGAATAACAGCAGAGAATACAGAAGACTCAAACTTCCTTTGTCAATATTAAAATAAACCATTGGTTCTCAATGACCATAATTGATAGCTTATGGCATTACATATATTTGTTGATGTAGCTATGCAATGGCTTATTCTGTTATCATCTCTTTTCTTGTTTGTAAAGGTGTACCAAGAGCCTCTAATGGCAGCTTTCAACTCCAGCAGACCAATCCTCGGCTATAACGACATCCAGATCATCTTCAGCCCTGTTACAGTGATAGTCCAACTAAACAGGTAAAGGTACATAGACGATTGATTTATAATTTCTAGGAGTCTGCTGTCAGGACCAGGCAAGGCAGAATTTTTTTTTTTTAAGTTTGTTTAAGGCAGATTTACAGACCAGGCTGCAGCATTGGGGTGCAGAGCAGTGTGTTGGAGATGTGTTTGTGAAGTTTTGCTCAAAACTTAACATCTACACTAACTACCTGAATAACTACATCACCACCATCCGCACCATCGATAAGGTAATCTACAAAGAATATAGCTTTATAATAATCATAGTCTTCTCAGAGGAATATTACAACGGAGAAAAATTTTGTTGTGTCAACCTTGTGTCTGTTTTAGTGCAGGGAAGCAAATCCTGCATTTCGGGCTTTTCTGAAGAGAGCAGACAGAACTCTGCCGACACATATGCTGAGGTAAAAACATGTGGTTATTTATGTGATATAAAAAACAGTTATATTTGGGAGCACTGTACACTACAGTACAGACAACTCTGTTTAAAAAAAAAAAAAGGAGTTGATTTTATCACAATTTGGGGCAATGTCATCATATGTAAAGCATGTTTAGGTTTCTACAAAGCTTTGAGTGGTTCCATATGCAGAGAGGCAAGAACTGTGTATCAAAGGACTATTTATTAACAAACCTAACTGCCAATAGAACAATAATTTGTCATAGTATGGTCTTCTTTTGGCTGGAAAACTTTACAATTACCCTTTTGCAGTAAGTCAAAAATGATTCAGGGGGAATTTCAATAGTTTGGAAAAATGAGCTCTTGTTATATTACAAAGAGCATCCGAAGTGAAAACTTTGCCAAGTCAATGAGTAACTCTTACTGACTTTCTGTGGAGACCACTGAATAATGTGAGAAGCCAAAATGACACCAACCCAGTTCTGCTTGCAATAAATCAGTGGCTTCCAAATTTTTTGGGTGCCCCTTCTTTTTCAATGTTTTCTTCATTTGTTTATTTAACATCCTAACCTGCTTTTTTAACAGTTGAAAAAATAGTAGTCAACTGCAGTAAATGACGTATTGCAAGCTGGCATAACTCAGATTGATCAGAGTAGTTCAGTTTGAATACTAAACAGTATCTATCTGGAAGAGATCCTGTGGAAAGTGTTCACAAAAAGGGATGGACAGTCAGTAAAATTAATTCTTTGAGCTGGTTGGGTAAATCACCATGCAGCGCCTGACTCCCATGTCGACCTTTTGGCCAACCACAGGAACATGAAGTCACATGAAACCATGGGCGGTAGTCAGAGCATGTGATTTGAGCCAGCGGTGGAGCGGAGTGAAAGAAATATGGTGGGGCGCAGAGCGGTTTTCAATTTAAAGGCCGGAGAACGGATTCCGCTCCGCTCCAGTTCGCTCCAATGCGCTCACATGTACACACAACACATGTTAGGGCCACAGTGGGGTCAGATGTAGGAGTTTGCCCTGAAATCGAAGGATTGACGGTTCAAGCCCTGGCTCCGACTTTCAGTGTCGTTGTGTCCTTGGGCAAGACAGTTCACCTGCATTGTCTGCTGATGGTGGTCAGAGGGCCCGGTGGCGCCAGTGTATGGCAGCCCTTCTTCTGTCAGTGAGCCCCAGGGCAGCTGTGGCTACAATGTAGCTTGCAAACATGACTGTGTGCGTGAATGTAGTGTAAAGTGCTTTTACTTCAGTTGTTTCCCCAAGTCTGCCATCAGCTCCCAGTCCTGTGCCATTGTGAGCAGGCCAGAGGAAGAGACCCTGGCACCAGCTGGTTGTCCTTCTCCAGCTCTGATGAAGGAGATAGTTTTCTTTGCTGGGCGGAGGCGCTTGCAATGGGCTATTCCACTGCAGATGGTGTTCGCTATGGCCTTCAAGACCTGGTCATGACGCCAGCGGTAGCACCCCTCACTCAGGCTCCTCGGACAGCAGCTCAAGATGTGCTCCAGGGTCCCTCTCTTCTGGCACAGGGCACACGCTTGGTGACTCCACCTTCCCCCAACAGAACAGGTTAGATGGGCTTGGCAATACTGTACATCGTATACAGCCTGGACCAGGAATTTTATGCGCTGGGGCTCGGCTTTCCACAGTTCAGTCCACGTGACTTTGCGCTCTGTTGCTTGCTCCCATCGCGTCCAGGCTCCCTGCTGCCGCATTTGAAGCACCCTGCCGGCCCGCTCTTCTTTCACTGCTGCTCGCACTTCTTCCTGGAGCAGCGTTCTCCTCCTCTTCTCCTTTGCCATCCCGCCGCAAGAAGATGTTGTGCTGCTAGCAAGGCCTGCTCTTCCCCGAGCCACTGTCCCCACCAGAGTCCTGTGCCGCAGCCGTGACTCCGCCACTTCCACAGCGTCTTCCCGCCCCGTCAGGACCTCGATACCAGCCTGAGAGACTTTTGGGTCACATGACTCTCTGTATTGCAGCACCTCCCTAGTTTGGCTCACCTTGAATTCCTCATTCAGGCTGCTGAAGGGGAGCTTCAGCATGTTCTTCTTTCCGTATAGGGCGATGCTGCTCAGGCTCCGCGGTAGACCCAGCAACTTCCGCAGGAACCTCAGAATTACAGATAGCTCTTCGTTATCAATCTGGCTCCAGGATGTATCATTATCCTGTGCTTATTGTACAGACAGAAGGACTGTCCTAATTAGCCTTCATATCCAAAATGTGATACACCATGCAAAGGAAGGCCGTCCACCTCATCTAATCTGGCTGACAGATAGGTAATACATATGACTAATAAAGAATAAACCTAACAGGATATAATTTATAATATGTCCATATCCCCGAGATGAGAATTAAGCATTACATTTATTATTTAAATCAGGGGTAACCTATTAAAAATCTTCTGGGTCCGAAAAAAGAAAATCAACAACCAGTAAAGTTTGGGAGACATTTTCAGTTATAATCTGTTACTTTAAACAGAATTTTATACATTGAGTTTATAAAAAAAAAAAAAA